CGTGGTGCGGTTCGGAGGGTCAATACTTCGGCCCTTGGAATTAGCCCGGCGATCGCCTCCCTATTTAACGGGACTTGTGTGACAATTAATCTGGCGTCCGCGACACGGGACTTTTTGGTGCACAGTGTGCCCAAAGTAGTAAGAAAGAGCCTCGAGTTGTTGATTGTGCTGTCGGAACGATTTTGTGTGTTGCTCAGTGTTCTCGTTAACGAGTGCAGGGGAGTGTTCCGATAGACTGATTTAGGCAGATACTTTTTGCACGCGGCAAGGTTTTATTTGCGAGTTGCGAGACGCAATGGATCTCGAAAAGTTAGTTGCGCTTGGTGAGAAGATGGGTCTTTCCGGCGCCGAACTACGGAAATGGGTAAGCCAGAAGGAGAAAGAGGCAGCTGAGAGAGCCAAGGAAGAAAAAGCAGCTGAGTTGGAACGAGAGAGGTTGGCGGTCGAAAGAGCCAAAGCGGAAAAAGAAGCTGAATTGGAGAGAGAGAGGTTGGCAGCAGAGAGGGCCAAGGAAGAAAAAGCAGCTGAGTTGGAGAGAGAGAAGTTGGCAGCCGAAAGGGCGAGAGAAGAAAGAGAAGCGAGGGAGCGACAGCTGAAGGAAGAAAGAGAAGCGAGGGAGCGACAGCTGAGAGAAGAAAGAGAAGCGGAGATGGCTGAAAGGGAACGGCAGCGGCAGCACGAGATGGAACTCGAGCGGCTCCGGTTGCAACAGCGAAGTGAAACTCTCGTCCAACCTAGAGTTGAAAGCAGCGAACGGGAAGATCATGGCTTCCGCTTGAACCCAAGCAAGCTGCTCGTGGCGTTTGATGAAAGGAAGGACGACCTTGACGCGTACCTCCACCGATTCGAGACGATTGCGAAGAGCCAGAAGTGGCCGGAACATCAATGGGCAACTGGTTTGAGTACTTGCTTGAGTGGTGAAGCGCTCAGTGTGTACGGTAGGCTGACGCCGACCGATGCAGGCAACTATGCAAAGGTGAAAGCTGCTTTGCTGAAGCGATTTAGATTTACTGTAGAAGGATTCCGGGAGAGATTTCGGACAGGAAAGCCAGCTGATGGTGAGACGGCTACGCAGTACGCCGCCCGACTTAGCCATTATTTCGACAGATGGATTGAACTTTCAGGGACAGCACAGGAGTACGATGAGCTTAGAGAGCTCCTAATTAGAGAACAATTTCTTTCTAGTTGCCACCCAAGCCTGTCACTGTACTTGAAAGAGAGGAAGGCTGAGTCACTTGAAGGAATGCTTGAATTGGCTGATCAATTCTTGGAAGCGCAAGGTGGAACTAATTTGGCCAAGGTCAAGAAGGATTGTCCCGATGATTCGAAGAAATTGGCTCCCGAAGAAAAGAAGCGTGCACCAGAAAGTATTCCGCGATGTTTTCTGTGCCACCGAGTGGGTCATCGCGCGAAAAACTGTCGAACGATCTTTACGAGCACTACGGCAGTAAAATGTTTCAAGTGTGGTCAGACTGGGCACAAAGCAGACGCTTGTCGGAACGGAGTGAGTCAAACTCACCAGGTATCTTGTGTGCAAGCGGCACCCAAATCTGATAATAATGCCGTCACCGATGGATTCGTAGAGTTGAAGAATGGGGAGAAAATTCCTATTGCGGGTGCTGTAATGTCAAAACAGCCAACCGGTGTTACGAAAGGAATGCCGACGCTGCCAGGAAAAGTTGCGGACAAAAAGATTACGGTGTTAAGAGATACCGGCAGCTCCACTGTTATCGTGCGGAGAAACTTGGTACGGGAAAGTGAGTTAACCGGCAAAACGAAACCGGTTTGCTTAATTGACCGTACAGTTCGGATGCTTCCCGAAGTAGAGATTGAGGTTGAAACCCCATACTTCAGCGGGAAGGTTACGGCTCTATGTATGACGACCCCCCTTTACGACCTTGTCATCGGAAACATCGACGGGGCGCGAGGACCGAATGATCCGGAATGTTTGGGAGAAGACCTTAAGATAGAGCCCTCGCCAACCCAACGACCGCGAGATACAGTGGAGGAGCAACCCGTGACGGATCCCACTCGAGCCCAAGGTGAAGCCGCGGTGCAGGGGACCGTGAAAGAGAAGATGATCATGTTGAATGAGTTCACGGGCCGAGCAGCTGGACGTACGTCGGCACGACCCCAACCGACCAACAGTGTAATGGTGACGGAGTCGGCCAGCCGAGCCAAATGTAGAGACATGAACAAGCTGGTAAATAAACAGACAGGACTCGTCGAACGTCATGACCCGTTAGCAGGGTCGGAAGTGACAACGATGGCTGAGACGCCGCCTCAGATATCGTCGTTGGAAAGGGCTCGCCGAAGAAGAACGTGGAAACACAAGAAGAGATCGAGCGAGCACCGCAAGAAAGGGCGCAAGCGCCGCTCAAAGTACACAGGATAAGTGCTGAAGTCGAATCCGAATGTGCTTGGCAGTGTTGAGTGCCATATGTTGTGTTGAAGTTGTGTTATCTTGTGTCACAAGTGTCGAAGTGTCTGTACTGTGATGTGATGTATAGTGTTGTATATTTGTTGTAATGAGAGAACTTTGTACGTTTGTATTGTTTGGAATGTGTGATGAAGTGTTGTAGTCATGTACTTGTGGCTATATTTCATGTGTTGTAGAATTGAACTACAATGTACGATTGTATTGAGCGATCTATTGCGAATGTGAAGTGTCAGGAGCGACGGTTTTTGTTACAGTCTTTGAGTGTGTGGGGACTGTTCGCGCTCGTTTGTGTGGTTCTGAATATTATGAGATAATATTCTTAAAGTGGGGGGCAGTGTCACAGAACGAGCGCTAAAAATGGGCGCGCCGCCAAATTGTCGCGACGAAACGCCGGAGTGGCGCCGCGTGGTCAAAAGAAAAAGAAAACAAACATCTAAAGGCTCCCCGGGGCGCGCGCTCTCCCCTCGGAAGCGTGGCTTCGCCGACGAACCTCCTCGCCCCACATCGGCGGCCGAGATAGCCCGCGAAAGTTCCAGAACGAAAGGGGCGTGGTCATACCGAGTTGAGTCATCCTCCGGGGAGGGCATTCCAACCGTCTCGCCCTCTTCCCAGCCTTCGCTGCGTATCGCGCCGACGAAATGACGAGAACCGTCTGGAATGTCGCGCGCAAGGTATTTAACCGAGCAGTCGAGATGAGAGATCAGGAGAAGACGGAAGTTGCGCCAGAGTGCGAAGGGATCCCGCCGTGTAGTCGGCGAAGGTTTGTCCGTAGGGACGAAGCAGGAGATGAAGAGGATTTCCACCTGAGGGGTGAAAGCTCGAGCTACAGGCAAGAGCTGTCCGTAGGGACGAAGCAGGAGATGAAGAGGATTTCCACCTGAGGGGTGAAAGCTCGAGCTACAGGCAAGAGCGTGTGTCTACCGCTATCGAGCGAGGACGCGTGGCAACAGCTGCGTGTGTGAAGCCGACGTGTTCGGGCGAAGAAGTTTGAAGCTTGGAGAGTGGCCTATTGAAGACGGGAGGTTTCCTGGAAGAGAAACTTCGGCGAGGTTTCCTGGAAGAGAAACTTCGAGGGCGCGGAACGACAACAACGCTGGACTTTGAGTGAGTGATTCTCGGAAGAGTATCATTCAGATTTTTGTTCCAAGGACTTTGGACTGAATAGGTTTTATATCTCTTTAGTCTTTGAGTGTCTTGGTTGTTCAATGCATGCGACTGCATTGTAGTGCGTATTGTCTGTGTCCGTTGTTTCAAGTGTGGTTGATTGTACTGTGTAGTACGTTGTCTGTTTGGTGACGTATTGTATGTAACTATTGTGGAGTGTGCATTCTTGTGTATTGTTTTCGATCTGCCATCTTTGAGAATATAGTATTTGTTTTGTTTATCAACTCTCGGCTCTGACTTGTTCTTTGGGCCACAGCCGGCGTCCGCTGGCGCGCCAAAAAGGACCACTTCTAAATTGTCCACGCTTTCGTGGTGCGGTTCGGAGGGCCAATACTTCGGCCCTTGGAATTAGCCCGGCGATCGCCTCCCTATTTAACGGGACTTGTGTGACAACGTTGAATATTTAATCAAGACAAGTACCAACTAATCCAACAGTGAGTTCTACGGAAGTGTCCTTCCCTGTGTTGTGCTAGAATGCGAACTTGCCAAAATTTGCACTATTTAGGGACATCTTTAATTTTTTTCGTTCTCGTCTCATTTGCCATGTACAGGTAACGCGCAGCAGTCCCCTACGAACCCGCTAGACATGGCAGTCTCGAACCGCTAGGCGCGATGGGAGGCGGCTCTGCTCAGCCACGACCTTGCCGATCAACTGTGGGCCGTCCGGCAAGCCCAGGATGCCACCCGGGTCCAAGGACTCGAGGCCGTCACCTAGGCCGGGGTGCTTCTAGAACCACCCCGCTCAATGACGCCGGACATGTTCAATAAAGTTTTTACTCACTCACTCACTCATTTGCCATGACCCGACAATTCGACGTAGACATACACTGAAAAGGTCATCCCTTTCCTCTTCCCTTTCTTACGTTATTCCTGCCAAGATGTCTCGTCAACAGCGAGATCTTCCTTCGATCTGATTCGATGTGCACCGCCAACGGCTGCATAAAATGTTCATTGACAAACTTGATGATCGTATACTCATATTCTCTTTCTATACCTTCACCTTGATTTCCTCTTATCTTCCTTGTTCACCAGTGGCTCATTAGAGTATAGCAGAGAACCTGATCTTCTACTGGATGTAAAGCTCCCCGCCCTTTGCTCTTTCTTTTCATTTCCCTCCAATCACTTTAACTGCTTCTTGGCTCAAACTTAAGAGCTAGATCTGCGTTCGACAGGGCCTTTTAAGACAGGGGTGGTGCCAGAAATTTTTTCCTGGGGGAAGGGGAAGGGGCTACGATAATTGAGTTCCTACAGGGGAGCAAAGAGGCGGTAAACATAAGCGTTTTGTTTTGATTATATACACATATTTTTGCCGGGACCTAGCACCCCCCCCCCTTCCCTGTGCCTTCCGCTGGCGCCGCCCCAGGTAAAATATTGAGTGAGGTGGAGTGCAACTCACTTGCAGCGAGAGGTCAAGTCTGATGGCTCCTCGGCATCCTGTGGATTGGACGTCGGCATCAACTGTCTTGTGCATTCCATTATCTTCTCCTCGTTTACGCACTTGGCAGCGATATAAGTTTCTGCGAGTGATAGCATTGTGAAGTCGTCCGAATAAAAAAAGTTACTTGTGTCTTGAGAAATCAACAACCAACCTGGGGAGATGACGGCAAAAAGAATAGCAGCGCCAAATGGCACAAGTATAAAGGTAACAACAATGTATTCCCTCAGCCCCACAACATGATACTTATCGTCTCTTACAACGAAGCTCTCCTAGTTTAGTTCCGGCCGCTGCCGTGGGAGTAGTAGTTGCAGTAGCAACAGTAAGTAAATGCTGTTGTGGTGGTCGTAGTAATAGCAGTAGTAGAAGTAGTCCGCCACAGTGGTCTAGGGGCTAAGGTACTCGATGCTGACCTGCAAGTCGCGGGATTGAATTCCGACTACGGCGGCTGCATTTTAGATGAAGGCGAAAATCCTGTAGACCCATGTGCTCATATTTTGGTGCTCGTTAAGAAATCCCAGGTGGTCGATATTTCCGGAGCCCTCCACTACGGCATCTCTCATAGTCATAGGGTGGTTTTAGGACGTTGAGTCCTACATATCAATCAATCAGTCTATCAATCAGTTGTTGTTCTTGTTGTACTAGGCGTCGCGCAGGCTAAGTGATTAGAAGGGGGTGATGGAAGATCCGTATAAATAAAACGAAATGGCAGTGATGACGCTAATTAATTATGATGGTGCTAAATTATACTTTTGCTAATCGACAATAATGATTACGATGCACGTGGTATCGCTAAACAATCACGTGGTTTAAATTGTTAACCAAAAAGAGCAACGAATTAAACGCTAAGCGGCAGGGCTCCAGAGAAGACGCAGACAACAACGCTTTTGGTCAGTGTAATTTTTTGCGTCCAGTCGTGCAGAGGTGCTACTCTTCAAATCATGAACTCACCCGAGTATGCAGAAATTCATGCTCGAAATGAAAACAGTTTTTGGCGAAGGAAAAATTCACCTGATCGCATATGCGTTTGCTTAAGAAGGCACAACGAAGAAAGCCCTATCTTCCTTCTCTTCTCGGGCGATCATAAGGAAAGCCTCTCAGCAGGTTTGCCAAAACGTATACTAAAGTACGACGTCACCAACTAATCTCGCACGTATACAATCGTACATCCATATATACACTCGTATATTCATATGAAAACACTCGTATATTCTTATTCTCCACAATGAACCAGCTATTTTAAATTACGGAATATAAAACTGCGTTCGAAGGCAATATGCATTATAGTGCCAAACGCAATGTCGTGAAGCTTAGCTTGAGCGTTGGCCTTTTTACTGGATTCAAAAAATGCGTGTGCACTTAAATGCGCTGCATACTAGGTAAATACACCAGCTTGTTTTTTTTTTTAAATCGTAAATGCATTTCTTACTCAGGCTGTGTCAGGCATCCGGCATTGTCCGCGGCGGTTTCCGCGCGCCGGCAAGTGTTATCTTTCACTCTCACTCCCTCTCCCATAGTAGCAGATGCGGGCGCGTGTGCTTATCCTCGCCCCTAGCAGCCGGAACACGTGTTGCGAGAGAGCGTAGGAGAAGTTAAGTACAGTGCTCCGCCGCTCCTTCTCTCGCCGTTTGCTCTCTTTCCTCCCTGCGCCCCACTTTCCCATTCGTTCGCGCCTCACTCTCGACCGTTCGCTGGCTGAGCGCCTCTCAAGATCATCCAGAATTGTGCGCCCGAGACGCCGCAGTGAAACGCCAAGACGAGAACGCTGTTTGTTTTGTTCACTTCATAGTACTCTAAAGACAATAGTCTTTTGGGGGGAGCTTTGACGCAAAAAAATGGCAGCATATCCACGGAGTGAATGATGGAGAGTGGGGCGAAGCATTCGTCCGTCCATGCGTCCGTCTGTGTGACCGTCCAAGCGTCTGTTAGTGCGCCCGTCCCTGCGTTCGTTCATGCATCCGCCCCTGCGTCCGTTCATGCGTCCATCCATGCATCTGTCTGTGTGTCCGTTCGTCCATCTATTCAACAACCCAAGTCTCACCATCTCGCATCTTTTTATCATATATTCCCCATATAGAAGCACCACCATTCAGAGGACATTCCAAGGACTAAACGAGAGGTGGCACACGCACACTTTCTTACGGCTTGCGCTTCGGGTCTACTTCCCACCTTCAACCATCTTGAGTTCATGGTATATACGAGTTCACTGTATTCATGGCACCGCGGCCCAATGCTCGCTAAACCTTTCTAAAACCAAGAAGGTTACGCCCAGCGAGTATAACGTAGCAACCTTTTCCTGTCAGATAGTGCTCAATGTACATGCCAGTGGCTGCTAATGTGAAATGAGAGACAGGAGGATTCAGCTTTTAATTTCTTACGGCTTGCGCTTCGTATCTGCTTCCCCCCTTTAACCACCTCGAATTCATTCATGGTATATACTAGTTCATTGTAATCATGGCCCTATGGCTCAACGCTCGCTAAACCTTTTTAAAACTAAGGAGGTTACACCCAGCGAGTATAATGTAGCAACCCTTTCTTGTCCGATAGTGCTCAATGTACATGCCAATGGCTGCTAATGGGGATCGCAGCGTGCGCGTTGACTAAAAGCCCTTGGCATGTACATTGAGCACTATTTTTACTGTTAAACAACGCACATAAAAAATCTCTCACTGGCACCACCTTGGAGGCCAAATGTTATACCTATTTCGGGTATGTGCCACTGGTGGTTACGTTTTACGAGGGACGCCCAAGCCACGCCCTTGAGAGGACGACGAAGAGGAAGTGATCCTGTTGACGTCCCTGCGTGTTCCACGTCAGGGACGTCCTCCTCATCTAGCCATGGCGCCATCGACGTCGTGGACGCCTTCGAAGGCGCAGGCCTTCGACGTTGTCGCATAGAGAAAGAAGAAGGTTGTCGTCCCTGCGGGGACTAGTCCGGAGACCGTCGTCGACGCGATGGCCTCAATAGTTGGCCTCTCAGAGGTACACTGCGTTCAGCACATGGGAGGCATGAACTTCCAAGTAACTGTCAAGAGCATGGCTTCCATGACTCTCATCGTCGACGCTGGCTACCTGACCATCGGTGGCGAGCGTATCCCTGTCGTTCCCGTTGGCCCGCAGGTAACTAACGTCGCCTGCCTGTTTTTACCAGCCTTCGTCTCCAACAAGGTACTCGTCCAGGCTTTGTCCCCATACGGCAAGGTATTGACTGTGACCGCTGGCGTCATGAGCGCAAGACGCGGAGTTCTCACAGGCACACGCTATGTCCGGATGGAAATGAGTCCCACAAATCGCGTCCCCAACTATCTTCGCGTTTCTGGTCATCGAGTCACCTTCGACTACCGCGGTCTGCAACGTGTTTGTCGTCGGTGTGGCTCTAGTGGTCATTATCGAACACAGTGCACAGCACCATTCTGTGGTCGCTGTGGTGTGCACGGACACGAAAGCGAAGGTTGCGACCGCCCCTGCCGACGTTGTGGAGATAACCACCCTACCACCGTCTGCCCTGTGCGTCGTTCATATTCTGATGCTACTGCGGGGACCTTTTCTGCCCTACAGTCCGTGTCACCAACGGCAACAGATGAACGAGAACCATGAGCTGTACTAGAAGAACGCAAGAATCCGATTCTGAGAGCTCCATTAAACGATGAAGAAGTGTGCAGCTTGGCCAACCCGAGCGTGCCACGTCTGCCAATCTCAGCGATAGAAACAGCCACCGCGATTGACCTCGCGTCCGTCCCAGGCAAACAACATGTCATGCCATGTTCGACGCCGGCGCAAGCCGAGAAAGAAACGCCGGTAGACACCGAGGCACCAGACTCATAGTTAAACCTAGCAGCTGAGTGCCCAGAAGACGCCGACGTTGCGAGATCTACGGGCGCTGGTGTCTCGCCAGGAGCAGAATTGAAACCGAATGAGCAAAGCCCATTGGATCATTCCGAAAGCCAGGCTCGTGACTTCCTTGAACAAGTAGCAAGACGTCATGGGAGTTCTTTACTGACGCATCTCGACAAGCAATCCGTGATCAAGGTCGTTGGAGGCGGCGACAACGTTAACGCTGCAGCCCTACCACCATCTGATTCGTCCGACAGCAGCTTCAGCCTCGAAGTCGACAGTAGCATAGGACTCCCTTCTAGCCCAGGCGGATGTGACGTGGAAATGCAAGCCCCGCGAGAGGTCAAGCGTGCTCACAAGTCTGGCACCAGCTCGGACGGCACCCAAGATAGCCGCTCCGAGTTCCAGCAACCGAAGAAACCTCGACCCTCTTCTACAGGGTCGAATTGCGCTGTGTAGTGTACGTACTCCAGTTCCCCCGGACAGATCCCCGGGGTATACCGAATCGAAAAACACGACCAGGTCAATCACCCACCTTTTTTCAATATGGCTGACACCCTGATAATTCTTTCTTTAAATGTTCAAGGGTTCCATAACCCAGTAAAGCAAGCCGAGGTTATCAGCATAGCCCGCGCAGAATATTGTGATATTCTGTGTTTACAATAAACAAATTGTTTCACCATTGGCCACGTTCGTGCATTCAAACGCGCATTTAATTTAGACTGTTATTTTTCCTTCGTGACATATCGCTCCTCTGGAGTTGGAATTATTATTTTTAACCGCGCTCTTCTGCGCAATCATCATGTTTTCTATGACGGGATTGGACGGGTATTGGCTTTTGACTGCGTCCTATCATCCTTCAAGCTGCGTGTTTATGGGCCAGCTCAAGCAGCGATGTCTAACGATTTTTTCCGTGACCTGGACGTGTATTTTCTAGACGGTCGTCATGTCATACTCACTGGAGACTAATTGTGTATTAGACACGCGAGCTGACGTGCAAGGTCCAGGATGGGGTCGCTCTGATTGGAACGCGCGAGAGCTGCGTCGCCTAGTGCAACATTTCTCTTTGACAGATACGTACAGACTAGTGCATGGACCACAGTATGCCTGGACTTGGCGGCGTAGCACGTCGTCTAGTCATTTGGATCGTTTCTATGTGCCGAGCGCGCTAGCTTCTTACGTATCGCATTCTGATGTAGTAACATTACCATCATCGCCTGTTTATATATCCGACCACCGACCAGTGAC